CGATATAACGATATTTGTTTTGTACATAGTTTTTTTTTATTACTTCCCCTACGTTCCCCTATTCACAGCAGTGGTTCTCAATATTTTTCTCACCTTTTACCAAGGGAACATTGACGGCATCCCTGCACTTTGCCATGGACTGGCAGAACCAATAAGCCTAAATGAAAATATCCAAATCCAAGAACTTTACATTTTTCTCAAAGGTACCATTATTAGTTCATTACTTTACAGTTTTTTCCATTCAAGCTCTCACTTTTTCTTCAACAGACATCAGTGTAACAAATCCGTTACGAAAAAGTCCTATAGGTTTTACCCGTATTCTAGGTTCTATTGCACTCCTCACCTGCGAGGTGAGGAGTGGCAAAATCGAGCACGCTGATTACTCTCTCAATAAAGAATACCTTTGGACCTTCTTTTGCCCCTTGATTACTGAGAACACTGAATATTTAATTTTTTTTTTCTCCCCCAGAGGACTTCGGAGGAAAGAGATCAACCAAAATAATGGTATTCAAACGGAGGCAGCCAAAAATCCATTATTTTTTGCATTGAAACTATATTGCTAACTTAAAAAAAATGCTCGTTTTCGCTCATTTAGTCTAAGCGCAAGGACATACAAGGGGAGTACAAGGTCCAATGTCACCTTATTTTTCATTCAAGCAACAGGTAATGACAAGAGCGGTGAAAATTTCCCGAGATGTTGCGGCAACGCCGAGCAATGTTCGACCGGACGATAAAGGGGCGAGGAGATCTCCTCGTAGAAGTGAACGAGACGGCGCGAGGTGCTGTGACTCCGGCATCGGAACAGCGACGCACATAATAGAATCTCTAACGAATTTCAAGGTGGTGGAAATGCACCGTAGACGAACAAAACTGTTTGGAAAGGCTGATCTTCCAAGGCAAATGGTTGGCCGTTCCTTTTGCTTGGACCTTTAAATAAATAAAAAGATTTTTCTCGGAAGAAATTGCAGGCAGATGAGGTGTAGAATCGCGTCCTCCGTTTGCTTCGACACCAAGCGAAATACTTTTGTGCCAAACTCTCCCAGGAGTGAGATCGCGGCACTAAAAGATGTACCAATCGGGAACAGCTTGAGAATCGCGTGAGTCTTATGATCCGCCTCAGTCGGTCCTCATTAGGACGGCGGATGATTCGCTGTGCTTTGGTGGAACTGTATCCTAATTTAATTGAATTCTCGTTTCGGCGCACCAAATAAGCCTTCCTCTCACCTCATAGAGCGAGATACAATGAAAGTTTTTTTGCTGCAATACGGGAATTTACGCCCTTTTCTACATTGCAGATGAGCTTCGAGAAATTCCATACCCATCACACGATTGCGAGTCTTGAGTTCCTCCCTATAGATTAGACGAACAACGGAGAGTCTCCCTGTCAGTTGCCCGAGGTCGGGTGAAAGCCCTCAAATTCCTCACGAATGCCAATTGCAATCCTGGAGGAAAGTGAATCAACATAGGATACCGAGGCGTTTGCAAGTCTGCTGTATTGAACAAAAGCCGTGGAGCGGGGAATGCCGTCAGAGCGAATGCCGGTTGCGCATCATTTGCGTTGAGACCTGTGGAGGTTGCTCGCCCCAGTTCCACAACTGGAATGCATATACAAACTGCCATTCGAAAATCTGGAACTTAGGGACATGAGAAGAGAGACCGAGAGAAGAGGAGTGGAGTGGTTGGAGAGGCAGACAGCAACGTGTCGGGTGGACCAGGGCTAATGGGAGGGAAGTTTTTTTAGGGACTTGGTGTGTTATCTTCTAGTTCCTCGAGGTAACTTTTCCTTCGGGTGCGTCACTTTTCCCTGTGTTCTTTCTGTTGTGTCTGTTTGTGTGTTTCTCGTCCTTTCTATCATCTCTTTTGCTTTTGTCTTGGGATCAATAAAGGAATTAGAGGTGCTCTATGCTGGGAGCATTCCCACATTGATACGTGACACATGCAGGTCATCTCTCGTCGACGTCTGCTGGCCGAGCAGACTTATTATCCATGAGTGACACTTCTCATAGTTCGATGAGCCATTTTGCCTACGAATCCCCTTTCCCACGTTATCTATGCACTCTCATGGATTTACATTGACAGCCCGAAACTCTGCGTGTCCCCGAACGGTCAGGGAAGTACACCCTCAAATAAATTTGTTCTCATGGTGTTCTCGACTTCCAGGATAAAGAAGAAACAATGCAAGCGGGAAATATCGTTCATAGGTATTAAAACCCTCTAAAACAAGTAGTTATATGTATCCCTAAAGAATATGCAGAATTAAATGAAGTGAACCCCCTCTTTCTGCTGCTGAGGACACATTTTATGCACAGGTTCGAAGACAGTTCTACCTTGTATTTAGCAATTCTATTTCCGAAAGGTGAACCATTATTAGTCCCTTTTCATCTGCCACACAGTGATTACTGGATAATACTCTACATTCTCGCACCCAAGCATGAGGTTGAGGACCGTAATTGTATCGGAATCCCTAAGTTTGCCCTTGCCCAAGTCACACGATCGGGCCGCGTCTCTCGTCTACTGCGTCGGTCATACGATTACCACCGTGTTCCTTCCACGAATGCCTTCTCAATGACACAGGTAACACCCTTGATAAGCGCAATTCAACGAGTTTTCGTCCTCTATGGCTGATTCCCCAGGCAAAAAAAAACCGTATGGCTAAGCCTAACTCACCGATGGATGTTTAGGCTTACACCACTCCCACTTTCTTCGATGAAGCGGGAACACGAATAGGTGTTGGGTCGCTGACTATAGGTAGAGCTCGACTTTGGAGGCACATGCCTGGAAGGAACTGATGTAGCAAGTCTAACCCTCGGACGGACGTCCGATCGAGGGTGGATCACTCCTCTGGTAGATTGCGTGTTTTCATGGTTTTGTGGTCAAATTCAAGATAGCTCTCGTGCATCGGAAGGTCCTTTTGTACATGGACACAATGCGTTCCAGCCGAATGAGAAGTTTGTTCTCATAAGCTCGTTGGCTTGTTTGCTGCGCCATTGTTCAAGCAGTTATCATCGCAAAAGTTAATAAACAATAGCAAGATTTTCCCCACGTGTATTATTCATTGTGTTGACACTGTTGTGGTTATCGCATGGTCTTCGGGATGTGATAATAAACTATTTTATAAATCGTGGACAATATTTAGGCATTGAAGGGTGGGAGAGAGAAATCATCGCCCCGTACCTGTCGAGAGAAAAGGTTATCCCCCCATTTCTTTGTTCAAAGCCCATAAGACATTGACTGTCATATCTTGCCCGATAACAGCCTGCTTCCCTCAAAATAAGATTGTCATTCGGGAAGCGGGGAGCCAGCCCACCCCATGCGCCGGAGGGACATGGACCTCCCGGGCTTCCACACTTTCATCTTCTTTCATATTAGTAGTACAGAAATGCATGGATAAAAGAAAAAGGTTCAATAATAGAGATAGGCTGGGTCCGCCCTTGCTTATATTTGCTCTTTCTTCATTTAATTTTGCAAGACCTTTACATTGTGTTTCGATGGGCATTGGCGAGTGGATCTTTCAGAAGCACCAAATTTCGCTCCCGCATGAGACCAATGAATCACTTTGAAATCGACGGTGTTCCCTTTTCTCAACATCAGCGATAGAGTAATGCGTCCATTCGATGGCACGCATCTCGTAAAACCACCTTCATCACTGCATTCTGCAGCATTATGCAATGAAGTTAAAATGTTTCCCTCGTGTATTGAGTACAAATTTTCGAATTTTAACGCCTGTAATTGTGGATCTGAAAGCTTCTCAAGCACGATACAGAGGCAGGGAAAAAAGCAGCACCCGAGACACGGGCGAGACTCATCATACAGGCGTGACCCCCATCTCAGGAGGTGAAAGATGATTCTCCGGCCGCTCATGGACTCTATGCTGGATGTCCCACGCCCAGCATAGAACACGACACGCGCCCATTTAAAGCGGATCATTTCATGTTCACATCCCGCCTTCATCGTTCCATCCTGCACTCCGAAAGAGGATACGACGATGGAGGCTCGTGCATCTTTCTTGTGCTTGTGGGCCTTGCTAGTGGCATTTGGGTCTTGGATCGATTTTTCTCGTGCTGTATGCGACATTTCTTCGAAACCTTCTGCCATTTTCGATAGCGGTAGGTTACCTTCGTTACGAAAGTTGAAAGGGCCCGTTGATACAACTAGTTGCAGATTGTAGTATGCAGATAGTAGTTAACTAGTCTGCACTAGTTGCAAACGAAGTGTTCTGTGGTCGTGCTGAGAGTCACCGTGATCTTCAGAGACTACCACTGTCGTATGTGAAAAATATATAAGCAGCATATTGCGCTGAGGTCATCTTCCAACCCATGAGAGAGCGTTTTCCGCTGCACACTGCTACACACCCTATCGGTGCACAGATGCGAGACAGAAAGCACGGAAAATGAATCACTCAATTGTGGGCGAGACCCTGTCTCAGAGGCATCGACAGCTAGCAGCGCATATGCAGAAAGGCAAGGAACATGCCACCCACATCATGGCCACAATCAGCAAATCGTATTATCTACTACAAGCTCCCATTTCTTATATAGTGTACTTTTCCTGATTTACTTTTGCTATCTACCGAAGCGACTGCGGTACAGGAAACAATACACACTTTTTCAGAAACAAACTGGGATGGTTATCATCAATCGGCTCCCATTACCCGCGTATCAAGTTGTTGGTCCATTTGCAAGCACATCGGCCGCGCCTTGAACCAAGATTTTACCGTATTTTGCTGTCGTTTGGAAGATGGCGTTGCAAAGGAAATTCATTTCGTTAAAGTACATTTTCGGACGATGAAAATCTTTTTTTTTAACCCTCAGTTCTGTCTCGAAGCACTTGGCCTGTAGAGCTATGACACACACACGACTACAACGCAAAACACCTAAAAACACAATTGTGGTTATTCCTAACTGGCGGCCAGGATGGCGCCCGCAATACGTCTAACCGGAGGACCACGATTCCCTCGCAACCTCAGTCTTCCGGTTTGATTAATTTCTTCCATTTTCCAGACGGATGTGGAGAATGGTCCCACAGGCAACCCAGGATCATCAACGGCTCCGGTGTGCAACACATCATGTCGGCACCTTGGATGGCATCCATTCACGTGCAGATCCATGGATATAATTTCGCTTGTGCCGGGACGATCATCCACCCGAGATTCGTCTTGACCGCTGCTCATTGCCTTTTTACTGAGTGAGTTTGGGAGTCTTTTGAACTCCAGCAGAAAATCTCTACTTCACGTGAAACTTTCGTTTTATCTGCTGGCAGTGATGCGCAATAACGTTTACCTTTCAAATAGTTTTTTTTATTCAATAGGAGCTTCTAATTCTTAGTATATAAATGCACTTGTACACATTTCTTCATGAAATTCTATTTTCCTATTTACAAAGTACGTTATGATTAGCGAAGTAATCTTGACATATTTTACATACACATGACACACAAATCCAAATGTGTACAAATCCATTCTATTGATTCCCGTGTTCATGTATTATTTCTTTACGTATTTGAGTAACACTTGTTGAAACGCTGTCTAATATAAAAAGGTCAATATGGCCACCTTATCAAGGTACATGACGAAAGCACAGCACCTTATGTGACAAGGTCACGAGAATTAACGATATTTCCAACACTCCTGTTTGCCCGACATTGCGGCAAAGTTGACAACATTGCGTTGTTATTATGCATTCTTATGTATTCTAACTACTGGAATCCGGTGTAAGCAATTTAATGAATTCGAAAGCACTCATAGGCACAACCGTCCACGTGCAGTACGTTTTTTAAATTTAATCGTGAAGCATGAACGCCACTCGATTATGCTTTTTTTCAGGCAGCTTCCCAATGGTGTGGCACCAAACGTCACCGTTTATATGAATGATCTGCGGCGCCACAGGGGAGACATGCGACCGCTCTTCGTTCTCCACACCTGGGGACATGCTGGTAATTTCATTCAACTCTAGAATTGGATGATTCGGGGAGGAATAACCCGGACTACAAATGAATTGGCGACGAATACAATGTAAAAAATACTCATCTCGACCTTGTGATCGAGCTGAGTGTTTCTAACCCTAGGAAGGCCTTTGGGGCATCTAGGCATCAATGCATCAAACCTATATTTTTCTATACTATATTAATCCCTGTAGGGATTAATATAGAAAAATATTGCAATGCAATATAGCAATATAGCATATCGCAATGTGAAATTCGAGGAGCATAGCTCCAAAATGAGTCATTTCTGTTAGGAAAATCAGAAGAGAATTCGAATTAAAATGGAATGACTTAAAATGAGGCATTCCAAGGTAGCAAATTCTGCCATTAAATTTTTTTCAGACCAAACCGCAGACCTTCATCAAATAATTAGTAAAATTCGTTTCAAGTTCATCGTTGATCGGTTCATCGTTGGCTGTTTTGTTATGAAGCGTGCTTTTTTCTCAATATTTCGACAGATTACGACATCGCATTGATAGAGCTCGCCGGATCCGTGCCCCTAGGCATGGATGACACGGCTCCCAAGCCCTGGATCTGCATTCCTAGTGACGACGACATGGACGTGGCGAAACGCTGCAGGGCGAAGGTCTTCGGATGGGGGTTCACCGACTACAGCGAGATGGTGGAACCCGAATACCTGCAACAACTCGACGTCCGCATCTTAGAAGAGGGCGACCCTGGCTGTCGCGTGCCGGAGAATCACAGAGGTGTCATGTGCGCCTACGGGACCAGACGTCGAAGCGGGATTTGCTTCGTAAGAAAATTGGAGTTGCGCTTGTAGCTTCTCATGCTGAACCAGTTCTCTTATTCTACTAGCTTTGCAGGAACCAATAAGTGATCCCCATTCACATCTTTTCTTCAATGTTATTTTTTGGCTTTTGGCATTTTGTGACTCCTTCATAAACGTATGAGCAATTTCTACCGGAATTACACTTTCAGGTGTTACAATTTTCGGAATGTTTCTCCCTCTTCATAGTCATTGAATTATTCGTTGGACAATATTCTTCATGTAATCATCACTTGTCCATACGTTGTTTTATTCACACGTATCCATTGAACTCCATTCAATTAATACGTCACCCATTTCAATAATAACGCAATTTATTCTAGTATTTTGTTCATTTGCATTATAAAAGTATGCTTACCTATCCCGCGACGGAAATTCATATCCTTTCATGGTTTTCTCTTCTATTAGGGTGACAGTGGAGGTCCCCTCGTTGTCTATTACGGACGGAAGGCGTACCTCATGGGGGTGACCTCACACGTGCCTGGCATGTGCTCCGACGCCCCCGCCATCTTCGTTCGAGTCAGACACTTCCAGGAATACATCCGAAATTTCCTTCTCGATCTTTGATCACTCCCAAACGGATCATTGAGGGGGTGGGGTGAATTCCGGGAAGAAATCCGATTGCATACTAATTTCACCAATCGGCATTCGACCGACTTTGGAACTTCGTCCCGCTATAATTTTTAAAAACTGCTTTTTATACAGTAGAGCTATTTCTTCAGCGAAAAGTGCGATTGAGAATTGCTTCTTTGATGCATATTAATGGAAATTATTTTCCTCAATGCGACAATACCCAATACCCAACACCCATTCAGAATCTTGCGCAAAAAGCAAGTAGGAGTGATGGAAGACGGCGTTACATGTATGCAACATAGAGAAAACGAAACAGGGTCAGTCAAAAATAACTGTTAGATGTTTTTTTTTTCTTTTAGCCCCAATCCTTAGGCCAGACATAAGGCAGAGGAGTCATTTTACGTCTAGACCTTTGAAAAAATGGAAGATTAAGTGAGTGCGTGCTCGCTCATTTGGGTGAAGTTGTAGTTATTTTGATGTTCAGTATTTTTTTTCTATTCCGGTTTCAACAGACACGAGCTGCATCAAGTGCTGATTGCATTCCTAATTCTCTCTCCCAAGAATAATCGCATTGCATTAAAGTAGACTGACATGAAAAGTGTAAACTCCTTGCGGTGCGCGTCAAACGCAATGAGGCACATTAAGGTGAGGTTTTCGACTAGACTTGTACCTACTGCTGCCTTTCGACAAGTCCATTCCCGTCAAAATAATATAATCCAAAGATAGGCGACGTCCGACTTCCAGCAACAGTAACAATTATTATTTATTTCCTTGATGAATAAATGACTCAAGGATTGAAGTACAGTTCCTTCCTTTTTCCTCTGATAAAAAACTCAAGCGTCTGCTTCTGTCCTCCTGGTCCAACTTTCTCAGCCGCCTTTTTGCTGACCCTCACAGACGAACATGCCATCATATTAAATAGAACTTGCATTTGGCACCGAAAAACTGTAAATCAGTTGGAACTCACCTAATTCATCAACCATGACAATTCCATGCTACCAGCGAACTTCTGAAAATTTTCACACATGGCCAGGATGAACCATGTCCCATTTTCCTCGTGTCGGTAGGACAATTAATCTAGGACGAAGCAGAATACATCCAGCCAGGTTTTTCTTGAACTGCTGCTTGTTTGCAAAATACGGGACCATCCGTGAACACAACTTAAGCACTTGGATTGAAAAAAGCAGAATAAGAGGCAATGCTTATATGGAATGCTTGACTGGGCCAAGAAAATATCATCTGCATCGATGGCATTTCTTGAATGCTTCCCAACAGAATCTGGAAGTATTTTACTGTAGTTACTTCAATAACAGCAGCAACCGTGAATGAATGGGAAAGATAAAAGGAATACAAAAGGCCTTTTCAAATTCCCCAAACTTTTCCCATCTAAAATTAACTCAATCTGGAGCTAATCCAATTCATGGAAAAGATGACCTGCCTAAACGGTGTGAATAATCTGTGAAGGTTTTCGGTTGTGTGTCTCATCTTTTGTAATATTCTTGCCACTTCATTCAAGGTTACGTTTGCACTATGAACCACAGTTATAGCACGCAATCTCATCCATGAAATCGGGTCGGCTCCAGGAGGGACTGATCATAGAGGGAAAAATCTGGGGAATTTTCAAATGCCCCTCGCTCTTGTAACTCTGAATATAGGCTTCATGAATGGAAGCTGGAGCATCGTCTGCCATAGAGGAATATGAGCAGGTTGAATCCCCAGAGCAATAATGGGCAGTTCGGGAATTTTTGAACCCAGAGGAAATGGGCCAATGGTTTGCCAACGCCCGAAGAAAGGAAGAGGCTTTAGTACTTTCCACTCCAAGAGAATGAAGGGGATTGGGAAGGTCTACTCCCGGGAAAAGAAGGAGCGCGGCCAGCATGGAGATCTTTGCAGTCAATGGGATGAAGGCGCTTTGAGAGATTCAGAACATTTGGGACTTGCCATTCGGAAGGATCTCTCAGGCAATCGGGGAAGTATTTGCCTGAAGACATTTTGCGGTAGAGAAAATAATTGGGGAACTGCATTCGAATAATGGGTCAGGTACCCGAGCATGGACTTCACTCCATGGGGGGAGGGGGGTGAGGGGGTTCCAAGTACACCAGGAATATCACTTATAGAGGTTCGTTAACAGATCAAAATATTTATGGAGAAACTTGAAATCTAGGGGAGTCGGCAGGCACTGAGTCGTAGGAGCCTGCTCCTGCCAAGGCGTTTGGCACTTCACATCTCCTTTCCCATGCATATACTGTATATGAGGAATTAACCATATGAGAGGAATTATTTCAGTTTTTCGTGAAAATTAGTTTTGGCATTGCTCTTTGTCATATCCAGGTCCTGTAAGGACGCGGCAACCCTTGCCTTGGCATTGTTTCCTACTTCTGCAAAAGGTAAAATTAAATGATCCCTGTTCCTTCGAAGCTGCACGCGCGTAAGTGTAGATCTGGATAATTATCACGCGCAATATCCAGCAAGGAAGAAGTGACACCAGAGGAATGGGTGAGACCCATCATACGCGTCCAACATGATCTGAAGAAGCGAAAGATGATGCTCCTCATGTCCCTGAGCCAACATGTAATCCGACACGTGTCCATTTCAAGTAGAGTTTTGCACCTTTCCTCTCAACTTCTAGAAATCCATTTCACTATCTGTCAGAGAAGAGACCAGACAGAGACTCCTGTATCTATGCTGTGTTTCTGGGCCTCACTTGTGGCTTTGGTATATTGGTTCGATTTTACTCGAGCACAATGCAACATCGCTTCAAGGCCTCCAGCCATTTATGACAGTCGTAAGTTCACAATACCCATGACTATGAAAATTTAGAGGGCACATTGAGAAACATTCGTTTGCCTTTTCTTCAGAGGGATGCGGACAATGGTCTCTTCCAAGGCAAGCGAGGCTCATTAACGGAGCTAGTGTGCCGAGCATCGCCTCGGCACCTTGGGTGGTATCTCTTAAAGTCGAAATCGACGAAGACGAGGTCTTCTGTGGGGGAACGATCATTCATCCGAGATTCGTCCTGACCGCTGCACATTGCCTATTTTTTCGGTGTGTCTCCATCAGCATATCCGCGTCCATCGATTATGGGACTCTTCCACCAAATGAATTTGGCCTCTCACTTATTAAACCGAAGCTGTCTGCCTTCACAACTTCCATATGAAGAAAGCCTGCCTTGATTTGAAACTTTCATTTTATCGGTATATGAATACGTTTTATGTCCAAATTGAGCCTATCAAAATTCTAATAGCGTTGCTGTTTCTAATGTAATGAGTACGTACTTCTACTGGGTACAATACCCATTTCATGATTTCTTTAAAATAGAATTACCATTTCATTTTCCGTTTCCGCTTCTGGAAGAATTATCTCTCTGCAAAGGCTTTGCTGTAGACTGAGTGAAATGTTAACGTCCTGAATCTAGTGCCAACCTTGAAAGAAAAAACCAGTCCAGACTTTTCAATATTTGCGGTAACTCCTATTGGAGGAACAGCGTCCATGGTCCAGCGCGCTATAGAGTGCTTGCTGGTTGTCCTTATGTTCCAATCTAAACGTTATTACTGGGAATTTGACTCTTATTATCGGTTTTCGCTACAATCAAGCTGTGTCAGTTTGTAAGAGTCGGTAAATTTAGAGATTCTTTAGACATCATTATATCCTACGAAAAGTTCCGAAAATAAGGACCCGGATTCATTTATGAAGCAGTTAGCCCAAATGTTGAAAAGATTATTCGCATTGACCTGATCCGACCCTTCCCGAAACCAATGTTAAAAATCAAGTAAAAGGGAGCCAACGACTAAGAAGCAAATATCCCGAAAAATGGTTTCATTCGCTAAAAGGATGGGTTCGTATCAGACCTACTTTTCATGAAAATAATATGGAGCCATTTTCGCAGAAATAAGCCACATACGAGCTGAAACTGGTTGATAACTGGATCTACCAGCATCTCAGGGCTTTGACACAGCAGATGACTCAATGCTATGATCAAGGCCATTCACCTGATCACTCCCACGAATAGGGAAATATAGTGAAAAAGTGATCCTACATAACCGAAAAGTTAGAGCCGTGCCAAGCCTCTTCCTTATTAGTTCAAGAACTACTGAGTTGTTATTGCGCGTTATGTCGAATGGTTTTTTTTTAATGAGCTTATAATCATTTTAAATGTTTTCACCATCACAGAAAACCGCTCTGAAAGCGTACAGCCACCTAAGAGTTCTAGCAAGAATCTTTATTTTTTACAGTGCAGAAAAGGTCCTGCAAAAAACTCTTAATTCCTAAGCAAATCGTAGAAAAATTGTGAATATTTTGACGTATTAAATGAATTTTAGGGTATTTTCTCAAATAAACTTTTCCAGCGCAGCACGAAGCTAAGGACTTAGCACCATAGAGATTCGTTTCCTATTTACCGTGCAGCATTAACGCTACGTCTCAATGTTTTGCAGGCCACTACCAGACGATGTAGGACCGAACGTAACCGTTTATGCAAATAACCTGCAGTACCACTCTGGAGACGAGAGACCGCCTTACCATATCCACACTTGGGGATATGCCGGTGAGTCCTACTTCCTCTCAGATTCAACGAAATTGTGGTAAAGAGAATAATCTTGAGATCCAGAGGAGTTTTCCTTAGCTCAGAAAAGGCATACAGCCATCAATGCGTAAAACCTCATTATATATTCATGTCTTCCACCTCATATCACATTAAATAAATCAAGATGGTCATCACCACAATGATTCACTTATGTAAATAATAAAACGGAGAAATTATATTTGAACAGAGAAAACTGTGACGTAACCATTTTTTTATCGCTTCGCAGGGAATTATTTTCAAATTGCTAATGAAATGTATCTCAAGTTGATCGTGCAGATGAATCTTGGCTACTTTTGTTCTGAAATGAATTTCATGCGCACCTTGGACAGATTACGACATTGCGCTAATAGAGCTCGCCGGAAACATACCCAAAGTGGGTGGTAACACAGCTCCGAACAACTGGATCTGCGTG